TCAGTCAACAATATTTTTCTCTCGTAATAAACTAGCACTAGTCAAACTTATCAGTTCAGAAATTAACTAGCTAACAAACCCGGTTGACGGAATCAGGTCCGCATGTTCTCAAGTTCACACGCTTCAAAGGCTAGCCTGCGAGGCTGCATTTATCTATCCTGACGAGAAGGATAACCTGACGTGGAGAAGGATAAACCTCCGTGCCGTCTAATGATCGTCGCGTGGGCGAACGCGACGGGCTAGCTAGCTAGACGAAAATCGCGTACTGGAGGCGTTGGAAACCACCGAGTGTCCTTTAGGAATTATCTTCAATTTTTGTAAACAAGCTTTCAGGTGCAGTGCAGGTGACCAAAAATAACAACTGGTCCTTGCTTCCTTCCTGACAGAAAATATCTACCGGTGGTTGGGTTATACGGCCATGTCTGTCCTGCTCATGACTGAACGCAAGGAATGATGCAGGGAACCATGACGAGCTTAAAACGACGAAACAGTGGTGGATCGTGGACAGCGAATATATAGCTCGTGCCCTGGTGGCTGGTGCTCCACGAAACATCCAAGGACAAGGACACCGTGGGCCACGTGCAGACAGAGAGTCATCTGGTGTTAATAATACTTGCTGTTAGACACTGTTTGGATGGATAAACTTAATCCCTCTACTAGATCCATATACGAATTGAAGGGGAAAACGAACCTTTTTTCAACAAGAGATCATCCTATTTCATGCGTTCTGAGTTTTTTGGGGAGGTGGGAAATAAACTAATCTTTTTTACCTTAATTTTTTTCCATCTTGCGATACATATGCATGGAAGGAAATTGCAATGTTTCCAAACAAGCCTTTTAGGAAAGAAGAGCTTCTGCTATGTGTCCAGCTGCGGCGGTTGCAAGGGAAGAGCAATGTTTCCAAACAAGCCTTTTAGGAAAGAGCCAAATAAGGAAGGAAACAAAGAAGACGCGCATGGCCCATCAGCCCATGTTCGTTTGGGCCTTCCCAGTCCGCGTCTTTTGAGATTGCGTACCAGCTTCCCTCTCTGTCGCTATGGAGTAGTGGGCCGATGAATGCGAGGCCCACTGCGTGTTGTCGGGCCTGATGGAAAACGAGGTACAAACAGAAAGTCGCGCCCAGAACAGTAGAATGTAACTCGTGTACGAGTACGTGTTTTTTACTGCCGCCCGGTGCACAAGTAAATAAATAATAAATAATTGTACGCATCGAAGACGCCCCGGTCTGCCGACACGGCGAGCAATGGCACATGCCCTCATTCACGTCGCCACTGTCAGTACTCAAGTGAATTAGGTAGGGGAAGTAAAAGTAGCCCTGCTCCTTGCACTGCCCACGACCACATGCAATCAAGGTTCGTACGTACCCTGCGACAAGAGACAGGCCCACCAAACATTCCACCCGTCAGCCCAGAAGCCAATCGCCGATATCACAGGCACATGATTACTTTTTTGTTTTTAGTCCAAGAGAAATGCTGAAATATGCTAAAAAATTACTACAATACGGATTAAAATAAACTACTAGTACTAATACTGTGGAGTAGAACAATTCTAATGAGCCTGCATCGATGCACATGCTTCCCCTCTTCCCAAAGCAATCCCTAAAGAAATAGAAAATCATCCGTCTTTTTGCTCGTCTTTTCTTCGCATACCATGATGATGATCAACGTCTAAACTCTAAACACATTACACATCCAAATTACATGAATGAGCAGGCACACACGATAGTATTTTTTTTTAAATCTCAGTAGACGATAGTAAATGTAGTTTACTACCAGTACAATGCGCAAAGCACGAGCCCTATTAATAGCCTCCCTTGAAGTCGGTAATTAATAGCCTCCACTCCGATCCCGCCATGCCGATCGGCGTCGCTCACGACGATGACGCGCATGGCTGCCGGCGGAACCCGAGCCTGTCCTTCTCCAGGTCGTACTCCACGAGGTAGTTCTGCTGCTGGAAGCTACCGAGGATGATGGCGGGGCCGCCGCTCTCGTCGCCAGCGCCGGAGCCTCCGAAGTCGGTGACGACGGCGAGGCAGATGGCCTCGGCGGCGCCGGCGCCGGCGCCGGGCACGGGGGCGCGCCCCGCGACCACGAAGTAGTTCTCGAGCGGGAGCTGCATCACCGCGCCGCCCTTGAAGTGGAGCGATAGCTCCGGCAGCGCCATGGACTTGGCGCCCTGCGGCAGCGCGAAGCAGGGGTGCAGCCCCAGCCCGTCCTCCACATCCTTGGACCGCTTGTACCGCCCGCCCACCGCCGCCACCACCGCGTCCGCCACGGGCTGGAACACCGTCGGGTCGAGGTACGTGAACGTGGTGCCGGAGTCCACGATGGCGCCACCGGACCCCGCGGCGTTGGCCGTGAACGCCCGCGCCGGGAGCCGCACCGCCTTACCGCCCACCGTCACGCCCGACAGCGCCAGGTAGTAGTACACGGCGTACGGCTGCTTGTCGCCCGCCGCGCTCTTAACCAGGGGAACGTACTGCATGCCCTCCGCGCCGGTGTTGTCGCCGCCGAGGACGAGCGAGCCGCTCACGGCGGCGTTGTCGTCGAAGCGGCGGGACAGGAGGCAGTAGGAGAATTTGGAGAGCCCGAGCTGCGCGGGCACGGACGGCGCGCCGCGGCCGAAGCCCGCGAGGCCCGACGGCGGCTGGTGCACGGACACGAGGCTGCATCCCAGGACGAAGCCCGGGACGGCGCGGCCCGGCGCGCGCAGGGTGTCGGCGATGAGCAGCCCGGCGGTGGAGCCGGAGCCATAGACAACGGCGTAGGGCGGGCAGACGTTGCTGGCGGTGGCGGTGGGGGTGCAGTTGGCGCCGCGGGAGCAGGGGACGCGGCATTTGGCGAGGTGCTCGGCGGAGTGGACCCACAGGCAGGAGGGGTTGCGGCAGCCGACGAGGCGGGAGGAGGAGGAGTTCTTGGGGTAGAAGACAGGCACGGCGGCGGCGAACGGGGAAGAGCAGTTGCGGCAGTCGTAGTTGGAGGTGCACGGCACCCACGTGAGGTGGCTGCCGGTGTCGAGCAGCACGGGGAGCGGCTGCGGCGGCGTGCCGAGCGACGCCGTGAAGGCGTAGCCGCCGTAGGAGTGCGGGTACAGCGCGGCGGTGGCTGGGATTGACGGGCGGCCGCCTGATGATCCTTTCTGGCTGTGGTGGCTGGGGCCCCGGCGCTTGAGGTGCGACGCGCGGGCCAGCGACGCGGCGGCCAGGCGGGACAGCGGGTGGTGGTGCGCGGCCTCGGCCACGTGCGGGAGGTGGCGGTACAGCGGCAGCGTCGTGGCCTTCGGCGCGGCGGTGGGGAAGAGAGGCGCGATGACGAGGAGGATGAGGAGAGGCGGGAGCAGAGGTGGTGGAGCCATGGTGGCTGGCCTGGCTGTTCTGGGTGACGAGGGGTTTGGGTTTTAAGCAAGCAAAATCAGCTGCCAGGAGCAGCGCGTGCTTTGTCTGTGATTCTTTCTTACGTATATGATAGCCGATGGGACGGGAGTATATGTGCCTTGCTTGGGTTGGTGGACATGGCGGTGGCCGGTGGGGCCCCACCGTCTCCTGCTTGGCCGTCCTTGATGATGACCATGACCATGGATTGCACCGGGTCACGGGCGCGCGGCAGGCCGCAGGACCTGGGTCTACGCGACGACGCGCTGCGTGTGGAAGTTTGAGGTGGGTTCAGACTTCAGTGTTCAGACAAGCCTCGAAGGAGAAGGGCCCGGCCCTGACGTGTCAGCAGCCAGCATGCATGCACCATCAGAACTTGTAAAAATCAGGAGAGCGTGCATCCTGACTGTATACTGCAATCATGTACTACACCGATCGTGGCTAGAACTAGCACAGTGTCTTGGTTGAATATTGCAAGATGGAATGTATATCACGATATATTGCTGATGGCAACTCATGCAACAGAGTCCAGGCTTGTGCTAAGTTTTCTCGAAGAACAGTGTGCTGCAGCAACATGACTTGTAGGTAACTACTTATTTGGTGCTTCTGATTTACAAGATCTTTATTGTTGCTCACCCTGATTATCTCAGTTGTGCACCAAAGAATGTTTGAAATTTGCTGACATACTGCGTATCTTAGCTATGTGATTCCCTCTTTATGCTTTTCTGTTTTGTGGTTTTAAACTTCCTATAACGAGAAGGTATAAAGTGATGATGCTCATGCATAGTTCATGATTACAAATTAGGTTGCATTTTTTTAGAGAAAATTCCCACCATAGTCTGCTCTCCTTTTTAGCCTGCTTTCTCATTTCCATTTCACTCAATATAAAAAGGGAACATCTGCGCTGAGGGACCAGAGAAAAAAGGGATTTGCTAAATTTCAAGTGGCTGAATTTTAGTTTTTTCATTTACGACGGTTATTATATATATTTTATACTAAAATTACAGTTTTAGTTCGTTGCAATTTCTGTAGACACAGTCTACAATTTTTGGTTCCATGAATAAAAAACTCATTAGATAAAACCACAAACCTGACAAAATCGATGTGTTGGCACAAAAACAATTTAACAATTTACAATTATTTCTATAGTCAGACAAGGGCAAAAATTTGATATGTTATGATACAAAGACAAATAATAAATAAAAAATGACAATTTATTCTCGTACTAATTGATAGTACAAGAGTGTTGCATGAAATCATCTTAAAATTTAGGCACCTGAAATATAGGAGAAGTGGAGAAAAAGAGAGAGAGAACACACCTAGTATAGTACGTAACAGATCTTTAGATTGATAACTACTGACATGGTAAAGGTTGATCGACAGCAACTGCACAAACTTCACAAGGGCAAAGGCCCAGGCCATAATTCCAATCGTTGTCCCCTCCATATTGGGCTTAGCGTATGTGGCCCATTCCCATTTTTGTCGTCTCTCGCCCATTCAAAAATACCATCCTATCCGTCGGGCCAGCCCAAGTAAAATCCTAGCTGCCTTCTCTAGCCGCAGGCCGCAGCCTCGCTCGGACGCTCGGTTGTTTCTCTTCCACAGCCGCGAGCCGCTTACCGGCGCAGCCATGGCGGAGGGGCCCGCCGCCACCACCATCGCGGCGTCCAGCTACGAGGTCGACCTCGGCAACCTCATGGCGTACGACCCGTCGCACCACATCGCCGCCGCCTCCAGGTAGTGTGCCTCGTGCGTTCCCTTTTCGGCTGCTGCGTTACTGTTCGTTTTCCTGACAGAATGCGGTGGTGTTTGGTTGGGGCGGCAAAACTCAGGGAGGAGCTGAGGCAGGAGTGCCTGCGGAAGGGGACGGAGCTGGCGCAGGCGTTGGCGGACGCCCTCTTCGCGCTGCCGCCCAACGAGGACCGCGACGGTCCCATCGTCCACCTCTCGCTGCCCACCGTCCGACTCCCGCGCGAGAAGCATGTGAGAACCTGAACCTCTCTCTTAATTTCCTACAGATTCTGTTTGCCTATTGTCACAACCCGTGGCCGCCGGTGAGATCAATCCGGTGACGTGAGCTATCACAGGAGAAAATCAGAGGATAGGATCTCAATCGCGAGGAGGAAGAACACCTTCCTGACCCGTTCGTGTTTCTAGATATTTTCTGTTCCCCTCTCCATCTCTGGCTTCTCTCCTATATAGCCACCACTCATTGTCGCCAGCACAAACCCACAAGGCCTACAACCCATTATATCGAGGCCCATATATCCTGTGGTACGGGGTATGACATTACCGCCCCCACAAAACATTGCTTGTCCCCAAGCAATGGCTGGAATGAAGCAGTCATGATTGCCACCTTGTTCCCATGGTACATTCAAACATATTGCTAACAGTGCCCTCCCAATGTCATATAGGGTGTCTCCAAAGACAGTTAAGGTGCGACATCCTCTTTTAGTACTCATACTTGGAAGCCAGACCCAGAAACGCTCCCTTGGATCATACCTTTCTGCTGATTCTAGGTACACGCTTCCATCATAGCCACCAGACATATGGACGACTCCATTTAGTTCAGATGCAGCAAGAGCAAACCGACAGAGCAGCATAGATGGGCTACATATCCATTTCCCAAGGTACAGATCATATATCTCAACTTCGGAATAAGTTTCATTTCCATCTCCATTACTAGCATATATTTTCTCATTAGGACAGATTCCAGCAAGACTTCCTTTCTTCAGGTTCAAGGAGGGGCATTTCGTCCACTCATAATTCCTCAAGCTATTGCATATGCTTCCAAGATGAGATAGTGAACAGTCAAATTTGAACTGTAACTCATCTACAACGTATTTCAGTTGCTGAACTTTCCTTCTTGAGTCTTTAGCTACTGCCCTCAATGAAAGTATTTCTTTGTCTGACCCAATCAGTTTCTCATCAAAGTAATCTCCACTTTGAGCTAATTGCTGCAGTAAACCATGGTGCGTGCCAATTTCAGCTTGTATTTCATCCCACACCATGCTATCACAAATCACTTCTTCAGACAGCAACTTGCCCTGCATCAAGTCATCCAACTCTGGATCTAGCTGTTGCAACAGACCATCAAGGTCATGGATGCCATGCAACAGCTCATCATCCCATAGCACATCCTGATAGAGCATGCCGTTGAGCAATCCATGTGCAGCACAAACATCAGACAGAAACTCAGCAGCCAATACAAACATCTCAGGAGGTGTTTCATCAAACACGGTATCCACCGCATCCATCCCAAGCTCAGGTTGATGTCCAACAACGATTGCATCATGCTGCCGAACAAGCGTGCCAAAGTGTGCCAGGTCACAGTAGTTCTGGTTGATGAGACTAACAACCTGTACATTATCAGTATTCCTCAAAGGAAAAATATTGCCCAAACTGAATGCATATGGAATTGATATGATATCTGCAACTTTTGTATCGGACTCTTGGAACAATGATAATCCAGCAACTTTGCCATCCCACAATGCATCTGATAGGATTACGGATCCTACCGCGTAGATCACGGAGTCTGTAGGGGTGAGAGGGAGGTGGAGCAGGCTGGGAACCTCGCTGCCGGCGGCTGGACGCCGTGGTGGAGGATGGGCGGCTGCTGCTGTAGCCCTAACCTTCACGTGGCTACAGTAGCGGCGGCACTGTTCACGCGTGAACAGTAGAGGCGGCTAGGGTTTCTCCCGGCTCCCTGAGGAAGCCGGAAACAATAATATGTTTCTGCTTAATCTCACAAATAGAGTCTTACAAATATTTATATGTCTCTCTAATAGCGATAATTATAAAATAACCCTCTACCAATACTATAATTGCACAATTATATGGGCCATAGTCCTCATGGCAACTTCCCTCCTAGCCCTTAAGTGGGCTCGAAGAACAATGTGGGGATGCAGGTCATAACATCTCTCCCCGGTAACTAAAAATTTGCTGTCCTCGATTTACAAATCGAAGGTGCTCTGCTCAACTCTCCTCGAGTGACTCCCGTTGCATCATCTGTTGTGCACCATCGCGCCACTTGATCAAGATCTCTTCAAACACCCGTGGCTGGCTGGCTGGCGAGGCGCTGCTCCGGACTGGCAGGCCCGGCAATCCAAAGCCGTGGCAAGACACCGGGCGAGTAAGATCGCCAAGCGTCTTTGCTTGAGAGGCCCACATGAAAAAATCGTGGATGCGGGTGTCATCGGGCATTGGAGGCGGTAGGCGGTTCTGACCGTGCGCTCCAAAGACGCTGCATTTCCCGATTTCACCCCAACTTGCGCTTGGAGCGAGGGTCGAGGGACTAACTGCGTGGTGCGGTGAAGGAGACGCAGCCGCACCCACGAGCCCACCTCGAACTCCACATCCACGTGGTTGGCGTCGTAGTAAGCGTTTGGAAAGTCATTGGGCTTGAAGGAGCCGGCCGACGGACCTCGGCCGAGCATCTCGTCGCAACAATGAGTATGGCGTCGGCGGCCTCGATGCATACAGCCGTTCATTACGGCAATATATACGGCGGTGGTCGACCGTAGACGACCTCGAAAGGCGTGGCGCGAGGCGGTATGGAAAGAAGTATTGTAGCAATACTCATACGGACGACCCACCCACGCCGAGGCGGTCACCAGAATACAAATAAAAAACATGGCAATCACCTTGTTGACCACCTCCGGTTGGCCGTCCGTCGAGGGTGGAAGGGCGGTGCTCATCGCGAGAATTGACGCCCGCCATCTCGAAAAGGTCCCGCCACACGTGGCGGTGAACACGGGGTCCCGGTCATCGACGATGGAGAGCGGGAACCCGTGGAGCCGTATAATGCCGTCGAAAAAGCACGGCGACCGACGCGGCCGTGTAAGGTGCCCGAAGCGCGATGAAGTCGCGCGTGCAGAAAACGGTCGACGACGGTGAGGATAACCGACTTCTTGGCGACTTTGGGCAGGCCTCGATGAAGTCGATCGAGATGTCCGCCCAAACTTGGGAGGGCACGTATGGCTGCAGCGATCCCATGGCCGCAATGCCTCCGTCTTGTTCTTTGGCCGCACGTGGTGCAAAACGCACCAAGTCGCGCACCATGCTATCCCCCGCGGAATGTAGAACTTCGCACGGAGGCGGATGCAGCGTCTTCTTCAGTCCCCTCATGGCCGCGGCGGCATGGGCCGCAGGAGGACTGAGGTGGCGGAGGTCCCCGTGATCCGGCGACGAAGATACGAGACCCGTGGAGGAGGAGGCCATTGTCCAGCGCCACGGCTCGCGAGCTCCCGACCGGAGCAGCTGCTGCGGAAGGGCCCGCGCCACCACCATCGCGCGCGCCCATGGCGCGAGAGGTCAAACGAAGCCGGACACACCACCGCCGCTACGAGGGCGTCCGCACCAGCGATGAGCGCCACCGCCGCCTTGTCAGCGGCATGACAGAGTCCCGCCACGTGTGTTGAGACCCGTAGCAAGTGGATGCGGTGGTCATACGCTTTCCCCAGCGGAAGGCCCGTGGGTTCGGTGAAGACGACGACGCGTCTTCTTTGGAGGAGGACGCGTCCAGCCAGCCGGGCCGCCGTGGGTCGAAGGGCACCATGCCGCCGGTGCCGAGAAATGGAGAGGGTGCAACCGCCCGACCACTCTCGCCAGTGACGCGCGGCCGCCGCGCCAAAAACGACAGTGAGGGCCTCGCGATCCCATAGTATGGGGCCCAAGGTGCGGATGAAGTCGAAGCCCATGATGAAGTCAAATCCGCCCAAGTTGAGGCCGACACACGTGATGGCGAAGTCCTCGTCGAGAATGCGAATGGGCACGCGTTCTTGCGATGCCCTCACAAGGCATCGCGGTCGCCATTGGCCACCGTGATCCGCAGCGCTCCCCCGCACGGAACGAGGCCCAGTTTGCGCATGGTCTCCCCGACACGAAGTTATGGGTGGAGCCCGTGTCGAGGAGGGCGAAGCGTGAGCCCTTGATGACGACGGCAGGCGGCATGGAGTTGGCGGCCCAATACCCGCAATGGAGGAGACCACAAGGGCGTTAGCGGCGACCATCTCTCGGCCCGGCTAACTTCATTTTCGGGGTGTCCTCGATTGCCTCCACGGGAGTCTCCACGATGTAGTCGTCGACCTCCGTAGAAGAGGCGCTTACACGTGCCAGCGCGTCGTAAGGCTCGTCACGCTTGAAGCACAACCCTCGGCGACGGCGCTCCTGCTGTATTCGTCCGTCCGAGAGCCGAACATTGCTTGTCCCAAGCAATGGTCGGAATAAAGCGGCGGCGCGGTGGAGGACCGCTTCGACGTCCCATGGTAGTCAGTTGACCATATTGGGCGCCACGAGGTCTGCCCTCCGGTGGAGATCGCAATCCTCGAACGCCTGCAAGCAAAGTACATGGCGGTTTGGAGGTCGACGGTCGCGTGGAGCTGAACTCGCTATGCGGGTTGGTCCGCCAGACCGCCAACGCACAACTCCGCCTTTTGGCGGCGCGAGAGGTTCTTTGGCGTGTACGGGATGGCATTATGGCGCTCGAGTAATCCCGCACGGAAGAACCAAAAGAAGAAGCGGGCAAGCTCCGCCAACCGTGTGCCGAGCAGAGGGCCCGGCGGAGCGAACATAACTCGCGGAAGCGCTCCCAAGGGGGCATGCCCTCGTCCTGCTCCAGGGCGTAGTACCATGTCTGGGCAGCACCCCGAAGATGGTAGGACGCGAGCCATGTGCGCGCGGATGCTAGCGTCTGTCAACGCGGAAGAAGCGCCATTTCGGTTCAACCAATTGAGGGTCTGCCGAGCATCGTATTTTCTCTCCAATTTGTAGAATTTGGGCCCGACTTCGCTTTCTTCAGCACCAAGGCCCGGTCAAAGCCCCCCTCATAATTCCTCAAGAAGGCGCCCGAAGAACACATGAGCCGTCCACCCCCGAGAGAGAGAACCGCCGGCAAATTTGGAACCGTGTTGTCGCGACCGTCGTGGAGGGTGATGGGGTTGTCGACGTTGCTCGAGTAAGCTTTCCTTCTTGAGTCTTTAGACTACTGCCCAATCAGCAATGGTGACGGCGAGGCCGGCCATTGCAACAGATGGAGCGGAACTCCGGCCCCCATCGACGGCATGCCGTAAAGGGTAGGAATCTCATTGCCGGCGATGGGGATCGGTGCCGTGGGCACCGGCGGCGGAGGCATGGTGGTCGCGAAAATTTCGGCGGTGGAGGCGCTCCCACACCATGCCGTCACATGGAACCACTTCTTCAGATCAGATCAACCTTGGCCCCCAGCATTCCAACGTCGGGGTCCAACTCGTGGATCTAGCTGCCTCGACAACTCCGACGACCATCGGGTCAAGTGGTCACCGGGATGGAGGAACTTCGGAGGAGTAGTCGTCATCGAACCAGCAACACATACCTTGATAGGATTACGGATCCTACCGCGTGAGATCACGGATCAGCAGGGGTGAGAGGGGAGGTGGAGCAGGCTGGGAACTCAGCAGCCAATACAAACGCCTCAGGAGGGAGGATGGGCGGCTGCTGCTGTAGCCCTAACCTTCACGTGGCTACAGTAGGGCGGCACTGTTCACACGTGAACAGTAGAGCTGCTAGGGTTTCTCCCGCCCCGAGGTAGCCAGGAAACAATAATATGTTTCGCTGATCTCACAAATAGAGTCTTACAAATATTTATATGTCTCTCTAATAGCGATAATTATAAAATAACCCTCTACCAATACTATAATTGCGACAGTTATATGGGCCATAGTCCTCTGATGGCCGGCTTCCCTCCTAGCCCTTAGCTGGGCTGCGACGGCTGTAGGGGATGCCGGTCATAACAGCATCATTGCATATTTGCATAGTACCAAGATGATCTCCTCTGTGATGTTCTCCATCTCGTTAGCAGAGCCTTCGACATTGGGGAGTACCTGAAAGTCCTTGGTGAGTGGCTCTACCACATGATCTACATCCAAGCTCATGTCATCCGGTGGCTCAATATCATACTGTGGATCGTCATCCCATACATGGTTTTCATCAAACAACTCCCCTGCCATCGGAGCCTTGAAAGAGACTGGCTCGGCAATTGGTTTGTTGTCCATACCAATCGAACACTCTCCATGAGCTAATAACTCCAATAAACTGTCCTGTGACTCTTCCCCTTGCAGAAACTCATTAAATACTTGGTCTACAGCATTCATACATTGGTTGAGAAGACATGAGGTGCTGACAGGAGTAAGCACTACACTGGCATTGAGCTTGACCATGTGCTTTGTTAGCTCATCATCCACACTCAAGCTTAGGTGTTGCAACAGGCTTTCATGCGTGCCAATGTCAGATTGCCTCTCCTCATCCCATCTTACCTCAAGCGGCATATCATTGAACAATTTATCTGCAGTATCCATGTCACTGTCATGAGGGATCAAATCATTGATGACAAGATCAACTATTGCTCTGTTGTCCGAAACCAAGGACTCATCAAACTGAGCTTCGTGCTGAACTAATGCATCCTGTGAGTCAAGGTTATGCAATAGTGCAACATCCCCAACCACATCTAGCTGAGGCATTTCATCATACATCACATCGACGGAAGCCATGCCAAGCTCCAAGAGGATAGGAGCACCAGTGTCAAGAGTGGGCTCATCCATGGGTCCCTTGACCATGAACTTGTTCTCACCAACATGACGCTCTCCACCTCGAGCTAGCTCCTTCAGTAAACCATGCTGGTCGTCAAATGTATGTTGCAGTTCCTCATCCCAAACCACTTTTGAATGAGACAGAAAATCAAGCACTGGGCGTCGACTCTCTTGCTGTGACATTCCCACAAACACCTGGGGGGCAAAACACACAGCAAGTGCTCGCTGCTTCAAACCAAGGCCACCCTCACTCGAAATCGGCTCCAAGGTGTAGCAACTCTCCCTGTACCCAGATGGATGCTCAGGAGAAGAGACCTCAATCACGCAGCTAGCCCGCAACAGGGAAGCTGAGGAAGTATGTCGATGCCGCGCGTAGGTACTTGTGGTAGTCGCCGCAGTCGGCCGTCAGAGTGCCTCGAGTGGAAGCCGCCCACCCATCGAGCGTCGATCTGAAGGTCTACCGCCACCACACGCCACCAGAGTATAAGCCGCCGCTGCAGCACACGCTCGGTGAAGGAGTCGCTGCCACACCGAGGAAGGAAATCCGTCGCGAACGAAATGGAGCCCGAGCCGATTGCCGCTGGAGCGCCGACCGGAGCTGAGGAGGATGGGCTTGCCGAATCGATGAAGCCGTCGAGCTGGACAACTGGATCTGCCGTCGACGCGCCACCGCTGGTCCAAACGAAGAAGCTGATAACCAGCGTCGAAGCAGGAGCTGACGCTGCCCACCACCCACGCCGAGGAAAGTCGTCTCTGATACCACTGTCACAACCCGTGGCCGCCGGTGAGATCAATCCGGTGATGTGAGCTATCACAGGAGAAAATCAAAGGATAGGATCTCAATCACGAGGAGGAAGAACACCTTCCTGACCCGTTCGTGTTTCTAGATATTTTCTGTTCCCCTCTCCATCTCTGGCTTCTCTCCTATATAGCCACCACTCATTGTCGCCAGCACAAACCCACAAGGCCTACAGCCCACCATATCGAGGCCCATATATCCTGTGGTACGGGGTATGACACCTATATATGGTGGTGATACACTACAAGCATCCTCTGAAGATGATGCGCTGTACAAGTAGGTAGTAGTCACATGGGATGGACTGCTGTTTCGCATACCGCTATAAATCTCGTGCCCGAATTAGAACCTCGTTTGCTGCAAAACATGTACTCAATTCACTAGGCATCTTCTTTTTATTCCACTTTTTACTATGAGAATAGACGTTTGCTGCAAGCATATTTGCTTCTGTTTTCTCAAAACTGAGCTCAATCACTAGTCCTTCATGTTTACGAGTGCATTGAAGATTGTGTGATGCGAGGTGTTTTGTATGTTTAACAACCCGGTTTATGTTCTTGCTAGCTTCCCAAGCCAAAGCCACCGACCAAGTGGGAGCTGTTCGCAAAGGTGAAAGGTGATCCTGTTGCCCACTATGTACTGTTTTTATGACTTGTGGAAATTGGAAATTTACTCAAATTTTCATCATTATTTGGGTGATCATACCATAGGCATTACCAAACGCAAGAAGAACAAGCGCGAGTGGGATGAGCAAACTCAATCCTGGAAGCGGACTTATGGCTACGACCGTGTTAATGATGACAAAGACATTCCGATCATTGAAGCCAAATCGACTGACGGTTAGTAACTTATCTTCTTGAGCTTTGGCCAACAAACCTGTTGTGCAACAAGACTGGTTGCCTCTCCTCCCCATCCAGTAGCATGTTGTAATTGTCATATGCATCTCCTTGTGCATGCTGATTCTGCTCACCATTTCTTATAATGTGCAATGCTTCACCCCCATTTATTTAGATATAAGTAGTAATTTTATAGTTTAACACCTTCTGGATCTGACAAATGTTTTCTTGTTGTCTCTTATCAATGGTTCTCGTGTGTCCTAAACCTGGTTTGCCAACTTGATACTCTTTTAATCAACAATTCATTTATTGCAGAGCCTGGTGTTGATCCCTTTGCACAAAGAAGGGACGAGAAGAAGAAGAGGGTTGAAAAGCAAGAAAAGAACAGACTAGAGAACCTAAAGAAAGCTGCAAAGATCGGCGCTTTGCCAAGGTTGTTATCCTTCACTAGTAAATGCTGCTTCCCCCCTCCCTTGTATTATGAATGTCTTTTTGTATCAGGAAGGAACCTTGCAGAATTACAGCTATCCAATATCTTTTGTATGCAGTCAATACAGCTTGCTGCAAAGGCCTTGCCCATCATAGGAACTAAAGCCGACCTTCCAAAGAAGTCTAGAAAAGAGGATCTTGAGAGTGTTGTTGGCATGGCTTCATCAGCAACAGCTAGTGGTGGGAAGTTTGACGAGAAGTTGCCTGACGAGAAACCTCCGAAGCACCCTGGCAAACATAGAAAGGTTTTTATATCTGAATGGCTTTGATTTGTGTGTGAAGGGCGGGCCTAGTGCAAGCGGTAGAGTCTTATCGCCTATAACCGGAAGGTTCCGGGTTCGAGTCACGGTCTCCTTGCATTGCACAGGCGAGGGTAAGGCTTGCCACTAACACCCTTCCCCAGACCCCGCACGCGGCGGAGCTCTCTGCACTGGGTACGCCGTGGGCTTTGATTTGTGTGTCTGTACCTTTGTAGGCTGTTTTTGTTGACTAGCTGAATCGTGCCGTTTCTGCAGTTCCTCCCAGTTGCCGAAGGGAAGGGAATGGGCAGCCTGGAGAAACAGCAGAACGACAAAATCCTGAACTCTCTACTTGCCAGAAACTCCGATGAACCGCTTGATGTCGGCAAGGCAAGTTCCAGGATCCAACCGCTTACATGAAGTTTTGTTTTGCCATGCCCACCATTATCGGTACTGCTCCATGTTTTGTTCGGGGGGTGAGCTAACAGCATCTGTGAACAATCTTCTAAGCAGGCAATCACAATGTACAAGGTGAAAAAGGAAAAGCAAAGAAGGAAAGAGAAAGATATGTCATCAAAGTCCGATAAGCATAAGCCCCAGAGGAAACCCCACAAGAAGTCATAGAAGAAAAAGGCTTAGGTCCACGTCTTTCAGGTGACCACAGTTTTGAAAGCCCAAGCAAGGAGGCCTGTCAGCGTTTTCTGTTGTACTTGTCCGCTTTGAATCTATATATGTTATTCCGTTTACTGGTTATGACACAAAAACCTGAATGCTGTTAATATATTATGCTCTGATATGCACCCAGCTTGTACTTTTCAAATTTTGTTTGGGATGTCTTTGTGGTTTGGCTGCCTGCTCGTGCTCGTGAAGCTTGTGATCCCTCCATCTGAATCTGATGAGTGCAACGCTACGCTGCTTTGGGCAGGCTGGGGGCGACCACTGTTCCGCTAGTCTGTTTTGGCTGAGGCCAGAGGCCACCACAGGCCAAGCCACTCAACAGTATGGCTCCCTTCGATTGCTGCTGATCGATCTGCTCTGCCTGCGCGCCCACATGCAAATGTAATGCAATGCGAGTTGTAACAAAATTATATTATATTATTTCTCTCGCTTCGCTTGCAATTGCATGCCTCGTCTCTTCGTTGCAGCATCCAAATCTCCAAACGGGCACATGCGCCTTGGCGTCTTGCAATGCAGAGGACTCTTTCTCTTTGGATGGCAAACACATGCATGTATGCTAAGGAAGGGTGATGGTCCAGTAGTCTCAGCTAGCAATGGCAATAGCATGTTCACACACACACACAAAAAAGCAATGGCAATAGCAGTGGCATGCGTGCTATGTGGTTGTGTGCTAAACTGCCAATGGTGCATAGTATCAACGTCGCGCCACCCTACCGCTCTGATAGTACTAGTAATAGACTAGGCTAGTGGTAATCTAGCTTGATTGGGTTTGGCACTGACTGCTCTGTGTGTCTATATATGCCAGTCAGTCATTGGCGCAATAAACAGCGTGTTCGCTGGGTCGTAAGCGATCATAAATTTTCAGTTAGAACAGTATTTTTCTCTCACACCAAACCAGTCAGCAGTAATAATTCACAATCGTATATGATCGTTTCCGCCCCAGCCAAACGGGCTGAAAGCTAGCGCCCCTGATTTGCCCATCTATCCAGCCCCTGATTTGCTCATCTATCCAATCCAATCCAATCCTGCACGATTTCAGGACGGATTTAATTAATGAAACTAGTAATTAACCCGGTGCTGTAGACGTTGGTGCATTTATCCATTAGCGCAAGAAGGGGCTGCCGTTTTGCTTATCAGTTCTGCACAACTCTTTTTTTTCACGATGGGGAGTACAGACCCGTTTTTTATTAAGCAGAGTGAATTACACGACACAACTACGTGAGAACCCTTGTAACACAGATCACAGATCACAAAGATAGTGGTTTTTGACCTAGAATAAACGTGAGGATGAGAAAAAGAAAAATAGAGAGCGGCAGCCTCCACCACCCTACACCTACTAACTGAGCCTGCAGGAAAAAAGATACAACAACGTAATGGTTTCCTACGCAATAGACCAAGCCGTGGTGGCAAAGCATCCACCCAGAGAACCAGCATCCAGCAGCAACGACGGCAAAGCATGCGCCAACGAAGACCGAGCGACCACGGCGGCGGCAAAGCATCCGCCAAGAAGTGGGCCAACACACTCTCGGTAGCAAAGCATCTACCAAAGAGGGAGCCAAAGAGCCAATGGCGGCAAAGCATCCGCCAGGGATCCACAGACGGCCAAGCATCCGTCCGGGAAGAAGACACAAAGCATCCGCAGAGGAGAGCGGCCATGACACTCTCACATCAAAAGAGGGGCCAAAGAGCCAATGACGACAAAGCATCCGCCAAAGGAGAAAGCGGTAGCGGCAAAGCATCCGCTAGTAACGACGTCGGCGAGGTCATCAGCAGGACAAACCATTGCGGTGGAACATAGACACACACAGGCACAGCTGGGAACTTCTCCAGGAGCCGGCTTCACAGCAGGAACCACAGACGTCGACGATGACACGGGGAACGAGCGATCTGCCGTTAAGCCTTCAGGAAGGGAGTGACGCCCAAGCAACCACCGTGGACACCACTGCCGCTGGCCTTAGAGGCATCTAACGCGGGGCTTACGTCTAGAATCCGGCCTTGTCGGAGCAGAGGTATGGGTTCATCAACGACGTCTTGAAAGAGGTATGCGGCGCCCGAGGCATCACCATCGTCCACCCGGTCAAAGCCGAGGTGAGCTTTCGCCCAGCAGAGTTGAAATACTTGTATCATGTACTACTTATACTCTTGGATTTTGAATCGTGCATGCATTCAGCATCGCACACTTCCCGCGGATCATTGCGGTGCAAGTGCAACTGTGCAGATGCAGATCAGTTGTCGCCATAGCTTTTCAGGTCTAGCTTTTGCGCTCCTACCCGGAGTCAGAGCAAGTTCAGTTCTGACTGACTTGTGCCCACCTGCGGCGTAAGCTAGCTAGTCGACTCGTAAAGCAGTGCAAACCCATTCACGTTTACACAGTGCTTGTGCTTGCATATGCATCGCAGTATCTCACACATCACTTTTCCGAGCAGACGTAGCTAGAGCATGCAGCCATTCACTGACTGGCTGCTGGACTGGTCTCTGCATTTTTTTTTTCTTCTTTAATCAGTGCACGAAAATAGCAAAGGGCTGGAAGTATAGTACGTACGCGCAGCATTCGTACAGGAAACGACCACACATTCGCTGTTTGGCTTATAAAGTCGACCACATTTTTTTGAAACGTCAGTCAAACGAACGGAGCGATTATTGAAACGTCATGTGTTGCTCAGTACGTACGTGAAGGACTCCAAACCAGCTTGGCAGCGTCAGGAAATGATGGCCAGATATATAGTACTCCAACCGACTATCAGTACCACCGCTGCTTGCCTGTCTCTGCCTGACGGTGCCATGGACGGCGACGCCAACGAACAGAGAAGGGACCCTGCCATGCCATGCCATGCAACTTACGGGGCTCACCATGTTTTCAGGCAAAGGCAACATAGCCCGTGTTTGGAGGGAGAAAGTTGAACGATGGACAACGACCAGCCACGTGAGAAGAGTACGCGTAATGTTCAGGGATGGCCACGACTGCAGCCAAATGCCAGCTCGAGCAATTTCTTGTTTAACTGTGCAAAAAGTTTTTTTTTCGCGAGTACATTTAAGCGCCCACGCGTTGTTATTTGTAAGATTCAGTGTCAAATCATACCTAATTACTTTTTTTAAAAAAATTTCGTGAACTGTGGATTTCAGGGCATAAAAAAAAAAAATTGGAGGGAGAAGAGAATTTATGGACAACGACCAGCCACATGAGAAGAAAGTACGCGTATCGACAGGGATGGCCACGACTTTTACAAAGCCAGCTCGAGCAAACTAGGCTCACCTGCTCACCTGTCACCTACTACACCTCTTTTGAAGTTTACACACAAAAAGAAATGCACTTTGTGCATTCCTAGGATCTATGGTAAAAGTGCACAAAGTGGATGGTTACGCTGCACCAAATTTCATGGAAAAAAAAATGACCACATCTGGCTTCTGTGGTTCTGTGAGTGGAAAACAGAGAGCCTTTATCATTTTTGTGAAGAAAAATGCATGATGAGTAACTTGTCTTTTTCCAGAAGAAATTGTGTCAATATGAATCTCCATGGCCTACAAGAATACATATTTTCCTGTCACTTAGAGTCTGTTTGGATTCTTTTTTTAGGAAAGTTTGTTTGGATTGTAGCGGCTAAAAATTAGCATTATGTTTGGAGGCTATTTAGAAGGACCAAAAGTGAACTCATTTCAAAATTAATTGCATAAGCGGCGACTAATTGGTGAGACGAATTTATTCTATTTTAATCCTAATTAGCCCATGTTGAGCTAATCATAGGCTAATTAGGATAAATAGCTTCATCTCACCAATTAGCCACCGTTTATACAATTAGTTTGGGAATTAGTTTATGTTTGGTCCTTCTAGTTAGCATCTAAATATAGTGCTAATTTTTAGCGGGTTGGATCCAAATATGCCCCTATTTTCAAAATGCACAAGTGCATGCAAGTTTGAAAATTGAAATGAGGTGTCGCTGGCTAGCCCAAGCTAACTCACCACGCAAATCATTCATTACCGGACAACCACTGAAGCTAATAAGCTCTGTCTTGAGGCCTAATAAGAATATACCGGAGTACAATTATATTACACAACAGTCAACGGCTACATCTGCATTGCCAATTGCCATGCAAGATTCATGATCAATCAAGCTCGCAAGATACATATCAATCAACAAGCACCATTTGATGTTTGTCATGACACGAATCAAACGAAATGAAATCAGTTGCACACATCCGCATTAGCCCTGATGATGAGTGATGAGCACTCGCCTTCGCCTACTCTGTTTGCGCTCGGTGGTGCTCGCCTATCTTGGCAGCCTGAAGATGGCGGCTCTGCTTCAAGCCAGATGAGCAGGCGGGGGAGGGAGCAGAAGCAGAGGAGGCGAGCGCGACGAGCAGGTCGACGAAGGCGCCGACGATGAGGCCGTGCGTCTTCTTGCCGTTGGCCCTGAGGTACCACCCGAGCATCTCCTCGAGCCAGCCCCAGTCGTCGGCGCCGTGGCTCAGCACCATCTCCTCCATGGACCGCCGGAAGTCGCCATACGGGTCGGCCGACTCGATGGCCAGCGCCGTGGCGCCGTCGAACGTCGCAGCCGCCTTTTTCGTCTTCACGATGGAGCTCGTGGACTCGGGCTCGAACAGGAGCCGGCGGGTGGTGGAGGAGCGGAGGCCGTGGATGATCGCCTCGTCCTCGTCCGCGGCGACTGCGGCGGGCTCTGCTGCCGCCGTGGAGAGGTAGAGGCTCTGGGTCGCGGAGGAGTCGGAGAGCCCGCTGGAGGAGT